CCGGGCCGGCCCGGGGGCCTTCGTCCCCCCGTCCCACTCGTGTAACCGGCCAACCCCCTGGCACAGGCCCCCCCTCGAGGAAGGCTTCCCGGGCGGAAGAGGGGCTTCACACGGAGGGGGCTCCAGTTTGGGAGCCAACAGCACCCCGAATCGGCACCTTCTTCCTGGGCCGGCGCGCACAGATGGCGCCCGGCTTTCGGTGTCCACGGGCGGCGGCGGCGAATTAGAGACTGTAATTGTCCATCATTAGCGGGCCTGAAACGTGAGCTGTCACAACAACTGGAACACGTCTGGGCGGCCGCGAAAATAACCGGAATGATTGGCCTCATTATGGATGTCAAGGCGCGTCGGAGAAGCCGGAGGTGCAAATTGCCCTTGACGGGCGAAATCCAACGCCAGGAAAGAGCCGGGCGTCCGGGGGGAAGGGTCCGCGCGTGGGGGTAGAGATCCCAGCGCTGACTGGCGAGAGGAGGCGAAGGCAGCGCTTCTAGCCCCGCCCCGGCCTTCGAAGCCCCGCCCCGCCCCAGTCAGGGAGGTCCCCTTGTCTCGCGAGCGGCTTCGGAGGTTCGGAAGCGTCGCCACTAGTAAGAACGCGGTAATTGCTGGAGGGCCTGCGCGAGGAGCAGCGATGGCCTTTGTGCTCCTTTATTTAGTCCAGCTTGTCTTCAGGTTCTCCTTGCACGCAGTTGGAACAACCCTGCAACAGATAAATTAGGCCGAGGATCTGAACCTCCCAGTTTTTGCCCTCCTCCTTAGTCTTCGCTGCGCCTCCCTTCTCACTTCCTTTGGGTCCACCCCGCCCTGGCGGTTAAGGTATTGGGATAGGGCAGGGAGACCCTCGGACGCGGAAGTTCATTTCACAACTTTGGGCCAGTAAGTCTCTCTAAGCCCAGCCAGGGTTGTTGTGGGGAACAGTCGAAGGTAGAAGACCTTCGAATGTGGAAGACCATGAGCACCTGAAAGACAGGCAGCATTTATATCTCAGGAACATCTAGTTGCCTTCCCAAGACTGACAGTGCGGGATCTCTCAGTGAGAGAGCGCCCCCGACTCTTAGGGGGCCTTAAGGAGTCGGGAAGGGAAGGCCAGGGCTGGATCGACTCCAGGCATGGGAAATCAGGCTATGGTGCCCTTGAGGGGCCATCAAGGGTGGCTTTCTTCCCATCTCTGGGCTCTTGGGCCTACAGCAGTGGAAGGGAAGAGTGGGCGCCGCAGCTGGAGCTCAGAGAAAGGCAATGTGGCTGCCAGACTCCGACCCTGAGCCACTTCTTGGGTCTTTGCACATGCAGGCAGAGGCGCCGCCGCCCTGGGGTGGGCGGGCCCC